ATATATTCATTTACTTATTATTAACATATTCATGTATATTTTATATATTATTCATACACTATATATTATTTCATACACTATATTTTATTTATATCTTATATATTTACATATTATACATTTTATATATTAATTTACTTTTGTATTATTAAATATTTGCATATAATTGATACATTATATTTGATATATTTCATATATTTTTATATTATAAATTTAATATATTTATAGACTTATATACTACACATAAGTATATATTTTATATATTCCTGTATTTTATATGTTATATTTTAAGTATTCTTAGCTATTGTACATACATTTTATAACACCTCTCAGTTCTTGGAGCCCCTGATGAAATCTGGGGGGAAATTTGGGGAAAATTTGAAGAAATTTGGGGAAAACCTGGAGAAACTTCGGGGGAAATTTGAAAAAAATTTGGGGAAGTTTGGGGAAAACTTAAAATTTGAGAAATTGGGTGAAATCAGAAGACAGAGGAAATTTGGGAGAAAAATGAGGAAATTTGGGGGAATTCTGGGCTGGAATTTTGATTTAAGTGCTGTGGAGGGTCTGGATCTTGATTTAGGTGTTGTGGATTAATTGGATCTTGATCTAAGTGTTGTGGAGGGGTTGGATTTTGACTGGAGTGTTGTGGATTTACTGCATCTTGACTTAAGTGTTGTGAAGGGGGTGGATTTTGATTTAAGTGCTGTGGATTTATTGGATCCTGAGTGTTGTGGAGGAACCGGATTTTGATTTAAGTGTTGTGGAGGGGTTGGATCCTGACTGAAGTGTTGTGGATCAACTGGATCTCCACTCCAGTGCTGTGGATCAACTGGATCTCCACTCCAGTGCTGTGGATCAATTGGATCTCCACTCCAGTGCTGTGGATCAACTGGATCTCCACTCCAGTGCTGTGGATCAGTCTGTGCTGGGGCAGCGTTGCTGTTGTGGTGGAACATTTTAGTCCCCCTTGTGTGGTGCCCTTTGGAACCTCTTCAAGTTCCCTCACTTCCTCCCCTAAACTGTCACTAAAAACATCTCTTGGGAACAAGTCTGGGCTCATTCTCTTGCCAATATCTCGAGGTATTAACAAGCCCTACACATATTTCTGTTTTAAAGCCCTGGTTGAGCCCGTGAGCTCACGGCTCCAGAGTGCTCCAGGGGGACACGAGTGACACAGAGAGGGATGGGGGACACAGGCAGGCCCCCCCAGAACCCCCAGGCTCACCTTGTCCATCATTTTCTTGGTCTGGCCGTAGCGGATGCGCAGCCGCCGCGCCTGGTAGTCAGTGCAGTTGGAGCAGGACACGAGCTCCCGGAAGGCTCCGGAGCCGGGAAACCAGGCCTCCAGATCCAGCTTTTTGCTGGCTGCATGGTTCAGGGAGCCTGGGGACAGCAGGGACACAGGGCTGAGCGGGGGGCTGGGGGGG